TCCAGGGGATGCTCAGGGCTGTTGTCTGGTGGATTTAGTGCAAACATCATCGATTTGAGCAGCATCCCAAGGCTCTGGATGTGGGAATCCTGCGGGAGGTGCTCTCAGGGGGGTGTTTGTGCCCGCCTTTGAGGCCATAAAGAGCTTTTTTGTTGTTCCAAGGAGCGGGTAAGTGGATAAAAGAGCAGGGTTTGAAACATTGCAACAGCAGAGGGGAGATGTCCTTCCCCCCCCTAAAACCCCAGGCAGCAGCAGTAGGGAGGAAAATGTTATCTGGAGATATTAAGAGTTACTTTGAGGCAATTAGGAAGCCACTGAGTGTCCTCCAAACTCGGAGAGAAGCTTTGATAGCAAGAGAAAATTCGTATCTCCCTCAAAGGACTCCAGTTTGTGTGTTCTCTCCTCTCCCTCAACTCCCTTCCCTGGAATTTTGCCCCCTCCACCCCCAACTCAGCAGCTTTGCCTTTGCTCTGGGAGCTGCAAGATCCCCCCAAAAAAAAAAACCTCTGAAAAGGGACAAATCCAAGCAATTTCTCAAAGTCATTTATTTGCCTGTATTTCCCTGCTGCAGGAGGAGCACTGAGATTATTATTAATTCCCTGATGGGGAAAAAAAAAAAAATTGAGTTTTTTGGTAGTGCAAGTAGGAGTTGATTCCCTAAAAATGACTTGTGGGATCATGCTCTGCAGTTGGGATGATTTCTCATAACCCTGGAATTCTTGGGGGCTGGAAGGGGCCATAAAGCCCGTTGGGGTTCCAACCCCCAGCTTTCACCTGCCAGCAGGGAATTCGCTGCTGGGAGAGCTGAACTCCTGGAGCTGCTGCTGCTGCTGCTGCTGCTTTGGACAGGGAATGTTCCAGCAGGGCCAACACCCGGATATGCAAAACTCATCTGTCAGTGCCCCATTGTCCCCGTCCCTGCTCTGGATTCTCACGGCACTGTGGAGCTTCCCCAGGGCACAGGGCAGCTCTGAGGTTATTGCAGTTGTGCTATTAAAGTCGTAAAGGTGATTTGGGGCCTTTTTTTAATAATTTTAAAGCCTGGGTTTTAGCTCATCCAGCCCAGCACCAGCAGTTTGCAGCAGGTGGTTTGCAAAGCGGGGGGCAGGAGGGGCAGAGAGGGACAGTTGCTGTCTCTCTGTGGGGCTGGACCAGCCCTTTCTGCCCCTGAAAGCTGCAAATTTTGGGAATTCTGGAATGATTTGGCTTGGAAGGGGCCTTAAACCACCAGGGACACCTTCCACTAGCCCAGGTTGCTCCGAGCTGGCCCTTGGACACCTCCAGGGATGGGGCAGCCAGAGCTGCAATAAAACAGGATGAACAAAATGCTTTTTAATTTCATGCTCAAACACTTAAAGCCTTGGGCTTTTTTAGTTTCTTTTGTGTGTGTGTGGTTTTTTTTCTTTTTTTACTGTCAGTGGCAAGAGGTTTGTGCAAAGACACCGATCGTTACTGAGAATCCCTCCCCTAATCAGCGCTAGAAAGGGCGACACGACCACGCCCAGGATTTAAAGCGGAAAGAAAAAAAGAGATGTTTTCTGCTTAAAAAAAAAAAAAAAAAAAAAAAAAAAAAAAAAAAAAAAGAAGCTGTTGCTACCAGGAGGGGCTCCAGCCGTGCAGGTAGTAGAGGCAGGGCAGGTAGGGCCAGGCTGCCCTGAGGGCCAGCAGCGATGCCCCCGGCAGCTCTGCCCCTTTGTGCCCCCCCAGGGAAGAGTCCGGCCGGGCCATCCCCTGTTTCCTCTTGGTCTTGTACCTGCGGTTCTGGAACCAGATCTTCACCTGGGTCTCGGTGAGCTGCAGGTTCTTGGCCAGGTGGGCTCTCTCCGGGGCTGACAGGTACTTCTGGTGGCTGAATTTCCTCTCCAGCTCGATCACCTGGCTGTGGGAGAAGGCGGCCCGGGAGCGCTTGGGGGGCTTGGGGGGGCGAGGGGATGCGGGCAGGGGGGGATCACACCCCGCCAGGTAACTCTCCACCGTGGAATCTGTGGGGAGAATCGACAGTTACCCCCCAAATCCTTCGCTTTATCCCCCCCTCCCATCCCCTCCCAGAGAGCAGAGGGGTTGATGTTTGGGTTGATTTGGTTGGTTTGTTCAACGAGGGGGTTTGGGAGTCACAGGGGAGGGAGGTTTGTGTGGTCCTGAGTCAGAGAGGTTTGATTGTTGCCAGTTCATCCCAGAAACTCGAAGAGTGGGGAGGATGGGGTAGGGTAGGGGGAGGAATGGGATAGGAATAGGGAAAGGATAGGTTAAGGTAGGGTGGGATAGGGATAGGGCAGGATAGGATGGAATAGGATAGGATAGGGATAAGATAGGGACAGGGAAAGGATAGGGATAAGGAAAGGAATAGGACAAGGATAGGATGGAATCATATCCCCAGAAAGGGATACTTTTCAGTGCTGGTGGAGGTTCTCCCCAGACCCCCAAGGTTTTGTTATGTCCTGTGTGGTATCAAAGCCTCTTGAGATTTTGATTGCAGAACTCATATTTTTAGGCTTTTTTGTTTTTTTTTAAATACCCTCCTGTGCCCACAGGACAATCCTGATTCCCAAAGAAAACAAGCCCTCAGGCTCCAGAGGATGGCTCAGGAGTGGGGAATCAGAGCAGCTCGGAGCCGACTGCAGGTGGAGAGCACCGAAAAATCAATCCCTCCCTTTTCTACCCCTCAACTCCCAGGCAGTTTTAAACCTTCAGGCCTGGCTTTCCTGCCCTCAAACTGCAGGGCTGGCCCTGGATCCCAGTGTTTGCCTCCAGACTATTCCTCGTGGCACCGATGGATCACCGAAGCCCCGACCCAGGAAGGTGCTGAGCTCCTGGGAAGTGTCACCTGGAGCTCTTAAAGCCTCTCAATTCACTTTATTTGTGCAGTGAATTCCTTTCTGTGCATTGTCAAGATGGAAATAAGCCAGGTTTTTTGGCCTTTGGTTATTTTTTTAGTGTATTTTCTTAAGGTGGGAATATAATGCTCAAAGTATAAAGAACAGCTCCCAGCTGGTGTAAATCCTGGTTGTCCCCCTGGAATTCCAGAGCTGGGCTCATTTACACTTCCTGGGGGATTTGGGGTGATTTTCAGTGATTTTTTTTTTGATTAATCAGCCCAAGGGCTGTCTCTGAACTTGCTTTTATGCAGAAACTTCTTTTAATAGAATCGAAATGCAAAGCCAAAATTCCCCTGGCAGGGGCTGTTGGAGGGAGCAGGACTTGGTCACCAGGGAGTTCAAAATTGCTTTTTTGGCCGTTTTAGCTCAGCCAGTTTGGGCAGGGAAAGGCTGAGTGTCCTCCCCCAGCCCAGGATGGGCTCGTGCTGCTGCAGGGACAGGGACACCAGGCACAAAAACTCGGGGTTTGGGATGTTGGGATCTGCAGCCCCATCCCCATGGCGCCTGTTGTGGGATCTTCTGCATTAAAAGGGAATTTATTTCCCGAGGTATTACAGAAATGCTTCATCTGGGAGTTTTTAAACATCATTTTAGGCACATTCAGACTTTGGAGTTGTTCAAGGTACCCGGAGAAAGGTTTTCCCAGTCACTAAATCCCCTCCTCTCGGGTGATCCTCACAGACACTCCTGATCCATTCCCTGATCCCAGCAGAGACACTCCTGATCCATTCCCTGCTCCCAGCACAGACATTCCCCATCCATTCCCAGACCCATTCCCAGCCAGCCGGCTCCTCCAGGAGCTCCCAGCCCTTACCTGTGTCCACTTCCCGGGGTGTCCCCGTGCCGTGGGATGCTCCCGTGGGGTGGGGGCTCCTGGGTTTGTTGCCGGGGGCCGAGTTCCCCTCCCTGCCCTCGGCCGGGGCCGCTCCCATCTCCCCATTCCCGGGGCTGCCAAACCCTCTGCTCCTGCCCCTGTCCAGCCGTGCTCCTCGCTCTGCCCCATCCCGGAGGATGTCTTGGATGAGGAAGGATGTCCTGGGCCTGGAGGAGACCGGGATGGGCTGCTGGGGGGCCGGGGGGGTCCGGTTCATCTCTACCGGGGCGCTGCTGGGTGAGCTCTGCCTCCTTCCCTGGAGCGCCCCTGCGCTCATCCTCCTCTTCCTCCTCCTCCTCCTGCCGTCCCTGCCCAGAACTTCCCACCCTCCCGGCCCTGGATTTATCCTGGAGGCAGCCAAGCCTCCCGGGGCTGATTGGAGAGCCCCGGCAGAGTCTACGCCCTTCCCTCGTGTCTTGGCTCCCGGCGGAGTTTTTGGC